AGAGTCGGACACTTAACTGACTGAGCCACCCAGGCGCCCCTGATAGCTTTATTTTTATCTTCTTAAGTTTCTATAAACTCAGTCTCCACTCGTTATGTTGTTTCATTGTACATATTTTTGGACTTTAAATCCTTTAGAACTAGATTCAGTACAAATAAAGAAATAACACAGAACTAATTACTTTTTTGTTGTTGTTTAGAACCAATTAAAATGTGCACAGGGTGTAACCTCAGTGGCAGGAGGTGACTCCAGCATTCCTGGCGTGGGTGGGGACTTGAACAGCTTGGCAGACAGCAGACTGGGGCCCTCACAGAAGGGGACAGGAGTAGAAACACAATAAAATGACAGGTGTTGGGTGGTAGCAGATAGAATAAGAGCCATCCTCCCTCCTCCATAAAAACAACAACAACAACAAAACCTTCCAGAAATAAGTGGAGGCAGGGCTTTCTAATGGAAGGTGCTATAACTGCAGATGGGAGTAGGAGTCAGGGGTATACACAGACTTGTTTGCACAGATTTATTTATTTATTTTAAAGATTTTATTTATTTATTTGCCAGAGAGAGAGAGAGAGCACAAGCAGAGGGAGCAGCCGACTGAGAGAGAGGGAGAAGCAGGCTCCTCGGGGAGCAAGGAGCCCAATGCTGGACTCAATCCCAGGACTCTGAGATCATGACCCGAGCCGAAGGTAGACACTCAACCGACTGAGCCACCCAGGCGCCCCTGCACAGATTTATTTTAAACCCCAAATTGAGGTGGCCTAAGGAGAAAAAAGTGAGGTTGCAAATGAAGTAATTCACGATGAATTTTGAGGGAAACCCTGTCTCCACCAATCTGCTACAGAGACTGAAATGCCATGATTTAAACTTATCCCTGAGAATGACACTTTTGTATTTTCAGGAGACCTTTGTTAAAGATCAGGTGGGTCTGAGGTAACACAAATATGCTACGGGAATCAGTATAGGGGAACAAGCCCATCAGACTGTTTCATGTCCTAGAGGGGCCATGAAAGAAAATGTAGAGGAAAGCATTCATCTTCCCCTGTGTGGGACATGGGCCAATGCAGGGGAGGTGGGAGGAGGCCTGGCACTGGAGGAGAGCAGAGATCTCATGAGAACAGAGCAGATTTTTTACTATTTGGTTTAAAAACCTAGACCTGAGGAGTTGTATGCCAAGGCAGGTAGTCCTCAGTTTGGACATATTTCTGCTAATGATGCTCAATCTCGCCTTCACTGATGGGAATGCTCACTCTGCTCAAGTCCCTACCTTCTCCCCTGCTTCCTTTACTTTCCCTGCCTTTTCTGTATCTTCTTCTGAGACCTCATGGCTATTTTTTGCCCCTACTGACAACACTTTAGGATCCCACCCAAACACTAACAGTAGCCCAAACATAAAGATGTCTTTCCCGCCTCTGTACCGAGCCCCACCTTTCCATCTGAGTTGCGGTTCTTCTCAAGAGGAGTTGAACTCACATGCCTACGAGTTTCCTTTACCTGCCCTGGTGGCAGGAACAGTATTTTCTAGGTTTGTCTCTGTAACGGGCCACCTCTATGGGAATCCAAGACCCAGGCCTCCCTACCTGAGAAGCTGGGGGTGGGGGGGACTCCCTCCTGATGCTGCTGTGCTCTTAGTTCCCTGGGTACTCCCTGAAGTCACCTGTGCCACTGCCTGGATGCCCTGAGGCCCGCCCCAGCCAACACACTAGCTCTCTGCTTGTCAGGATGGTCTCACAAGAATGCTCCCAAAGCACCAGGGAGACTTGGGGTCACACTGCCTTTTGCCTTTTCCGCTTTCAGCCCCTCGCCCCTGAGACTCAAATACTATTCCATGAAGTCTGACTGAGTACCCATGTCAGAACAGACATAGATCTTTCTCCACATACGAGCCTGAGCTCCACAACCAGTTCTCCCTGATAGAAGACTTGAGTTTCCCTTTGAAGCTTTAACTCCAGGATATAGACTCATCTCTGGGGATGGATCTGACCGTGAATCAAAACCACATGTGGCTCCATCCTCCCAAGCACTAAGAAGGATGTACTTCTGGGCCTGCTTTGCAAGGCCGATGTTAGCCAAATACACTGACCACAACGTTCCTCAATATGTGGCCAGTCCTACTTTTGGCTTTCATGTTTTGTAAATCAATTTCCCGACTTATTATCCAGTGTGACACCTAAGTTATCAAGGGTCCTTATAATTCTAGCATTCCGATGTGTAGGTCATACAGAAGTTCTATAAGTGGTGTCAGAAGGCCAACCATTTGGAAAAGGAATCTGTTTATTTGTAATCATTTGTAAATGAGTCCCAGGTGTCCTGTAAAGGACTTTGGCATATTTTAGCCGTAGAGGACAATGGGCAGAGGTTGGGCACATCTGCTATAGATACTCTTGGCATCTAACATAATGAATCTAACATAATGAAAGTTCTTGCTGAATTATTATCTCACTTGCTTCCTGATGGTCTCAAATGGTTCTCCTTCTCAGAGAAAGTAATTAAGTTGTCACTAGTATTTACTGCTTATGGTTTTATTTGTACTCTTTTGACACCTAAAGCTCTGGTGATATGGTCTTGTCCAGTTACTCATTCTCCTGACAGAGTGTAGAGTGTTCAAAATCTGAGGAGTTCCTCTTCTGAATTTGAACACGGGGTGCCAACATTTCTGGGAGCTCAGAGAATAGCCAGACTTTCTCTGTGAAAGGGCACCAGACTCTACTCGAATGACAACAGAGCTAACGCAATGACTCTATGGGACTTTTACCTTTGGGAGATTCTGGAAAGCAACTGGTAACAGTTTAAGTTGCCTGAAAGTAAAGGAATGTGGTCACTCAGCACCCTTTTGGGTTTCTTTCAATCCTCTGACTGTAATAGTGGAAGTATTTTCATGTGTCATTATTATTTAAAAGTGGAAACTACTGTGTGTTATTTGAAGAAAAAAAGCATGTCAGTGGGATGTTAGTAATACATTATCTCTTAAATTCCATCTGTTAACTGCACAGTTAACACTTCTTTTATAGTTGGCATTTGTTAGGAATTCTCTGCAGGTATCCGTAATAAATTTTTCTTTAATAAGAAAACATTTATGGATTTGATGTAGTACAAACCCATTAATTGTAATACGTTTGTAACTTATTGTTACATGAGGTTAAATGCATCAGTATTCACATGACGTCCCTCAAAATATAATACCGGGATTCAATTCCAAATCCTATCCCAGAGACTGAGTTAAGAAAGAATTTATAATCACACAGTTTATGGGGGACGAGGGAGGGTTGATCCTGGGTTCCAGAAAGCCCTTTGCTTGCTAAACATTGCGAAGATTATGTTTGAAGGCAGAAGATAGAGATGGGGCAAGGATGATTTTCTCTATGTCCAAAGTGGGGGGGGGCAGCTGAGGTTGGGGAGTGAAGTGAGGAGAGGTCTGGTGGGGAGGACTGAACCTTGGAGACTGACCTGTTCAATGAAGATTTTAAAATAGTTTCCCTTGCAATGTGGGATTGATCTTTCTCTTCCACTTCTCCTGTGAAATTTTGAGAAAGATCTCTACTGCTAACTAATTTTTTAGTCTGAGTACAATTTTTCTCGGACTTGTGAAGACTACGGAATTGAGAAATGTAGCTGGCACAAAATAAGAGATGATGCAGGGGTACAGCAGGCATTTAGGCGTGTCTCACCAACAAGACATGGAACCTGGTGAAGAAATGTGGAGTCCTGGCATCCCGGTTCTGGGGTGTGGGAGGGGATCAGGGAGAGAAGACTCAACGGAAGACCATGCACACGCCCATGGAGGGACAGAAAGATTGACACGTATTCCAGGACACATTCAAGGCCAGAATTAGAAGACACAACTTTTAGATTGAAATTAGCTAGTCAGGAGGTTTGGTCCATGGAGAAAGCCAGCGGGGTTGATGGGGAGACAGAAGTTACTGTAGTGTTTGGTCTGTTAGTGACCCGGGAGAAGCTGAGATCATTTCTACATGGAATACTACAATAGAGAAGACAGCCTGTCCAACTGCATTTCTTATTATTAACAGGCAGGATGGCGTTCTAATAAGCCATAGGTACCAGAATGACTTTGGGGGGCGGGGAATTAAATCAACAGGGAAGTGTAGGCGATAGTTCTAGAGTTAGTTTTCTTAACACCACTAACTACAAATTTCTGATTGTCTCTACCGTACTGAAAACATATCCATTCTTTAAGTTAGTGGTTTTGGGACTTTCTCTCTCTCTTTTTTTAAGTAGACTCCATGCCCAGCGTGAAGCCCAACACGGGGCCTGAACCCATGACCCTGAGAGCAAGACCTGAGCCGAGATCAAGAGTCAGATGCTTAACTGACTGAGCGCCCCCAGGCGCCCCTGGACTTTCCCTTTTTAAAGCAAGGAAATGCTTTTTTTCAAAAGAAATCTTACTTAGAACCTTAATGCATAAAGTAGACACCAATGGAACTTTTCCGATTGAAGCGTGCTGGTGGTACTCACAGCAGTGAGCTTGGTCCCTTTATCTGAACGCTTTCTCCCTTGGCTCCCTGCCTCTTGCATCTCTCCAAATTCAGCCCTCTTCTAAAACGTCTTGGCTCTGGGAATACTGCACAATTTAAATATATATATATATATATATTAGTGAAAACATACACAGAGTTTTTTATTATATAAAATTATCTAATATTATATACATTGTTATGTATTATCATGTTATATTATTACATATTTTATATAAATATAAAGCTAAACAGCCTAGCCCAGCGGCAGGAAGAAAAGATATGGAACCCGACTACATACACAGATGGTGGAGGCACAGCAGGTCCGTTTGGGGGTAGGGGTGGGGGTGGCAGCATTAACCAGGTCTCAGCTGAAGCCACAGGGGCAGAAATAAGGTACACAGGTCCTGGGGCTCCCCATGGCCCACAGGTAGCAGCAGACAGCCCTCCTCTTCCCGCCTCTGGCAGCGTTCAGGTGAGTGAGACACGGAGACAGGAGGTGGGCACCTAGCCCTCACTTCCTGGTCCCACCTGCCCAGGGACCAGTGTCGTCTTTGTCCTCTTCCGGGAGACTGAGGTCTTCACCCTGGGCTATGGGGAGGGTGCCCTCGCTGGCCCCTTCAAAGTGGGAGATTGCCACATAGTGACCTAGAGGGGATGAGGACTCCTCGAAATCGTCATCAAACTCTGGGTAGATGGGGGCATCCTGACCCTCCCCTGAGGGACGAGCTCTTCAGAGCCCTCCTTGTTCTGAGATCTATTGTTGCTGCTGTCTGGTGGGGGGCTAGCTGGAGGGCTGGAGCCTGGCGGTGCCGCCCTGGCTGTCTCTGAGGCTGCTCAGGACCTAGCTCTTGACTTTGGCGGGCCAAGCCTCATACTTCGGCCCTTGCAACCCAGCCGCTCCGTGTTGCTCAGCATTTCTGTATATGAAGATACTCCTCCAGTTAAAATCCTCAGAATTGCTTTTGTATATTGGCTAGTCAGGTATTCTAGAAGTTCTGCTTCTAACGTCAAAAAAGGTGACACTGCGCATGCGCACATGAATGTCATACTGAAGCAACTAAGAAGTTTAATTACAGGCTATGATTTTGACTTCCTGATTATTGTACTTTGAACAGGAAGTACAGAGGGTCCCTCATGAGTTGCCCTGAACACACTGCAAAGCTGCAAGTTGTTTCCTGTCTGTTTTGTCAAAGCTGTACCTATTTTTCATATTAAAAATATTGCCTCATGGAACCTGAACCAAACCTAAGCCTGAGACAGT